ATCGCACCAACTCCGTCCCGAGTGCTAGATCAGACCCTCTCCTGGAAAGCCCCGCCCCGAAGGATAGCTCTACCCCTCCACGCGGGCCGTTCCACGCCCGGATACCGCTGCCCGCCGCACCGCCCAGCGCCTGGTGCAGGTGCGGGCCCGGCCCCGTCCTCGTCGTGTACCCACCTTGCAGGTGTAGACGAGCTGGTAGTGCGTCGCCCGGGGCCCCGGCTCGGAGCTCGCGGGCCGCCAGCCCCAGTCGCCGGCTCGCCTTTTCCCTGCGGCAGTCGGACGGGCTCCGCGTCCCCACAGCCGCCTCAAACCGGGCCCCCGGAGCCGCGCACAGCCCACCAGCGTCGACACGCGGCCCAGTGCCGCTCGCAGCATCCCTCCCGCCGGCTCCGACCGCCCCGCCCAGGTTTTGCCCTGCGAAGCTGAGGCCGCGCCGCCGCCATCTTGGAAGCGGGCAACGGCGGAAGCGACTCTCCTCAGCCTCCGTGGCGAGCGGGCGGGACGCGCTCTTCTGCCCCCTGGAGGCGGGCGGTGCGCGCTGCGGACGCGGGGTTGGAAGGTGCGCGCGCCAGCAAAGCCGTCAGACTCGGCGGTCGTTTATTTTAAGAGCTGCATTTCTAACACTGCTGCGAGAGTCTGCATTACATAAAGACAGGACACGCCGCAGTGCGTGTGCTGGCGCGGAAACGGGCGCGCTGAGAAAGAGACGGTCTAACGAGGCGGCGCCCGAGCGGGGGTCTCGGGCGGTCAGCTCCTGGCCCGGGGCCGGCGCGGGGTCCTCCTGCACGCCGGGTCGCTAGGAGCCCTCGGTGTCGGTGTTGTCGCTGCCCGTGGTGTTCTCCCAGTCCACCTCGCCCTGTCTCGAGCCGTGCTGCATCTTCCGAAGCGCCCGCTTCCTGCCGGGAAGCCGAGGGCGCAGGTGTGCCAGGTGTCCGCGAGGCGCCGCCCGCCCGCATCCCTTCCCGCCTGGCGCCCATGCGGGCCCACCTGCGGTAGTTCTCAAAGCTCTCCTTGAGGCGTCGCCGCTCTTTCTCGGGGGGCTCCCCGCCGCCCAGGCCTGAGTCCTGGAGGAGGGGGTGGCTCAGGCTTAGACCAGTGCTCGCGTGCTCCCCGCAGGACTGCACATGGGGGTGGGGGCCAGGCCAGGAGTCACCGTTAAGGCTGCGTGGACCTCCCATTAGGCTCCCCAGGGCTGGGCACAGCCCTGTCCTGGCTGCCCCTCTGCCTGCTGCTTTGTCCAAGGGAGGGGGCTCAGCTTCATGTTGCAAACACTGCACCCCACGAGCCGGTGGGCAGAGACCCTTTCAATCACCCCCCCAGCTGTGCAGAGTGAGGAAGCTCTCCTCACTGAGGCCCACACCTGGGCCCCCCCAGGGGCTGCCTTACATTGGGGGTCAGTGAAAGCCGGTCCTTCTGCAGGGCCACAAAGGGCTGCTCTGGGCTCTCCCCTTCGGCCGGGCCTCCTGGAAAGGACAGTTGTGCCTGAGGGTCCTGCCCACCTGCAGGACCGAGCTTGGTGTGGCCGACACCTGCCCCTCTTCACCCTTGATATTTCCGGGCCAGCCCTGCACCACCTCCTGAGTCCTCACTTGGACCCCACAGGACTCTGTTACACAGATGAGAGGGCTGGGCTCACTCCTCTCTCCCAGGGGGCCCCCTGCTCCCACCATCGACCTCTGCCCCCGTCTTCCCGAGCAGGATGGCCTGTCCCCTCGGTGGGGCTGGGGCACTGCAGCGCTTAGGCACAGAACGTTCCAGGCTGCTGAGACCCCTCAGACTGCCAGGGCCTGGACGGGCCCAGGGCTCAGGACCCTGGGAGGGCAGATGCTCTGAGAGGCTGGCTCCCCTCAAGTGGCCATGCTGTGGGACTGTGGATTCTGGTCTCAGCGACATCATGGTGGGAGAGGCCCGGGTCTCTCCCTGGGGCTGATGCTTCCCCCTCCTCAGCCTCCGACCCTCATGCCACCCTGGGCCCTGCGAGGGGCCACACCGCCCCTGGGTTGGGGCTTCTGGGCTGGTTGGGCTGGCTGGTTGGGCTTGCTGCCTGCCAGGTCCTGTCCTGTGGGGGCTCGGTGGCCTCAAGCCCAAGTCTTCAGACAGTGCGGCTTGGCCCGACCCCTCGCTTCTCTATTTGGTGTCCCTTCTTCCTCTTTTACCTCCTGTAGGGGCTGGGGGTCAGGCCTGCGTTGAGGAAGTCTGCCTGGCTTCCCATGCGCCCTCTGCGGTGGCCCCACACGCCCTCCCCTCCCAGCCCAGCAGAGGGCGCTTTCTGAATTCTGACACCCACCTTCAGAGGAGCCCTCGCCCCCATGTCACCACCCCCGCCCGCGCTGGTCCCCCACAGTCCTTTCTCCTGGCAGGCAGAGAGACCTCTCTCCCCATTCTGTTTCCACTTCCTGCGTGGCACACCTGGCCGTTGGCTTACTGCCACCTCCCCTGCCCCCTGCCCGAGAGGAAGCTGCGTGAGGACAAGATGGGTGCGCCTCAACCCTGCACGCCGGGCCCGGTGTGGGCTCGGACGGAGGCGCGTGTCCTCAGGGCCGGAGCTGGCTCGTGCGCCCGCCAGACCTAGGCCTCAGGTTTGGGATTCTGCTTTGCTCTCGGGGGGAGTTTGAGGGGTTTATCTCTCTGAGCCTCAGTGTCCCCATCTTTTAAATGGAGTTGTGAAAATCAGTAGGACAGGGCCGGAGCACGTGTCCCCGGGGTCGGGGGCTGCATGTGCCGAGGGTCAGGACCGGTGCCGACTCCGGGAGAGGAGGAGGCCGCCCACGTGTGGCACACATACTCCCTCCTCACCTTTGTCTGAGAGCTGGGTGTCCTCCTCCAGGTCCTGGGGGGGCGACAGCTTCCGGAGAGAAACGGGCAGCTGTTAGACCCCCGCCCCCCTGGGAACTGGATCCAGCCTGCTGCGCTGCCGCCCTCTCCACAAGCTTCTCGGGGGCCTCTGCTGCTCAGCCAGGCCGGGGCCGGCAAGAAGGCCCGGCCACCAGGGCCAGGGGGTGGGCACTGCCGGGCCCGTCCTGCCCTGAGCACACAGAGGCCTCGGCGGGCGCCAGCGGCTCGGCCCTCCGCTTGGCCGAGGGATGGGAGGAGAGAGGGTCGCTGAGCTTCTGGAACTTCCGAGGGACGAGTGTGGGGCTGTGGTCTGGCAGAGCCACCCACCCCGCGGGTCACACTCACTTCCTGGGAGTTCCTGGGTGAGCTGTCCTCCAGGTCGGAGCTCTGTGGTCACAGAAGAGAGGCTGTCAGCAGGCTGTGGGGAAGCCGAGCCACCCCAGACCCCTCTCCAGGCCCCTGCCCAGAACAGCCCGCCAGGCCCTGAGCCGCACTGCACCCCACCACCAGGGGGCGCCATTGGGGGGGACTCAGGAAGGCCTGGGGACCTGCCAGGACCTCCAGGGAGCAGTGGCCCAGCCGGGCGGGGACCCAGGCTATCAGGAGGCTCCTCCCCCAGGCTCTGTGCCCCGTGTCTGGCTGAGGCACGGCCGGGGCCCCAGGCGGCGCACCAGGACCAGCATCTCCAGCTGCTGCCGCTTGAGCTGGCCCTCCGCGGCCAGCAGCTGGGCCTCGCGCTGGAACAGCTGCAGCTGCAGCTCGTCGGCCTTCCCGCCCAGCTCCCGCACTCGCTTGCGAAGTGCGTCCTTGTCCTGCAGGCTCTGGGCGTAGCGGGCGTGCAGCTCCTCCCGCGACGCGATGGCCTGCGGGGGAGACCCTGGGTGGGTTTCTGCACAGCGCCCCGCCCCCGCCGCCAGGCGCGTCTGTGTCTCCCCCGGGCAGCGTCCCCGGCACGGCTGCTTCTTCCCCTTTCGCCTCCGTGGCCACGTGTCAGGGTTTGGGTTGGACACGTCACAGAGGACTGCGGTGGGAAGTGTGGGCAGCCCACACTCCACCCTCAGAGTCTCCCCAAGCCCTGTGGGCCCCGGGGGCACTCCGCGCCCAACACACGGCCGTGGCCCGAAATCAAGACCAGGGCCACTGACCGCCACGTGGCGCCCCTTGAAACCAGTGCCACACTTCATTGTCACCGCCACCCAAGGGGCTCCTGAGGTGTGAGACTGGCTGGACAGTCGCACCACGGCCAGGCCACGTGTGACAAGTGGGACCAACCTGGAAACCCCACCCATGACCCCCGGAACAATCGGCCCCCAACAGCCAGGACCAGGTCAGCAACTGGCAACTTCCCTAAGTCTGGTCCCTGCTTCCGAGTGAGGACCAACCAGAGACCACCCGCTCGGCTGGCTGCCTAGCCGCCAGCCTCCCGGCACACCTGGGGCCTGTCGGGGAGACGTAAAGCTCTCCACACCTCCGCCGGCCTGCGAGACTGCCAGGTGCCAGCCAGGTGGGCTCCCTGCCCCAGCCAGCTCACCTCACAAGTGCTCCCCATTCTCACACTGCTCACGCCCTCGAGATAAGCACCCACATACCAGGCTCTCGCCAATACTGTCATTCCCAAGAGACAGGTTTCTAGACGTGGCGCTGCTGGACGGAAAGGAACCTACGGTCTAAGGCTCCTGACGCATTGCCAGTTACCGCACAGCGTCCCTGAAGCAGCAGCTGTCATTGCGGGAAATGACCCTGCGTTGTGACGGGAACGGGAGCAGAGGCGCAGTACGTTGTCACGCTGCCTCCCGTCCACCGTCCGCAGAGCGGCGGCCGGCAACGGTGTCCGCGGCTTTGTAAGTTAAAAAATTACTTGCAAAACAAAACAGATAGATAGCTTCCATTTTTATAAAGCAAAAGCAGAACTGTATGTGTATTGAAAAAGTCTGGGAAGTCCAGCCGAAGGG